GTGGTACAGGTGTGCGCAGATTAGGCTTGGTTCCACAGTAAATTTTGAGCCTCCAAGACAGCACCAAATAAAACATACGTTACTTTATGAAGGATCAACAGTGAGTTGGAGTTAGTTATGTTGCCTGGAGACAACATAAGCACATAAGCCAACAAAATCGTGACAAGCCGAAGCTTGCCACGATAAGTTGTACATCCACCTCATGTAGTAAGCCGTTTTGGCGCATGCAGCGACGAAAAACTTCGTACCCCAACGATGAGGCTTGCCTTTGTTGAACTGGCGTGTAGTGTTGTACCGAGAAGGCGACGGAAGCGTGGCCTCGTCAAAGCTGATCACTGGCGGCAGTTTGTATCCACGCGCAAATGTACGATGCAGCACGTTCACAACAGGTCGGATTTTCCATTGGTGGGCTTGTTGTTTGAAAAAGTAAGTGCCCATAATGTGGAAGAAGCGGTGCTTGGCCATGAACTGCCCGAGATGGTTGGAAGGCAGTGCGTCCACCTGCTTCGTGGACCAATGTGCAGCAATACCTTTCCGAATCGGCACCAACATCCTCGCGATGAGGAGAGTCATGACGCGTAAAAACACGTGTGGCTCGATATCATTGGCGTCTACCAAGCGACGACGGATCTCTCCAAATTCTTCAACGTCGCCTCCACTGTTGCGTCCGAATTGCTCACGCTCGTGCCGGTACCGCCTGCTCCCGATAACGCTTTCTTTCTACAGCCATCTGAGACCACAGCTTGGGTGGCATAAATTAGACCAGAAGAGCAAGTGGATCTTCAGCAACGCTGAGAACACTCTCACTTGAACCGAATTCGCCATCAAAACGATCATTGTAGGTCGGGTCAGATCCAAATTTACTCGGATCTACTCAATATTTACAATTAACAATAGTTATGTTAGCTCTTATGTTGACCGAAGGGAAAATGTATCGCTCATATGTTGGATATGAACAACATAACTTACCATACTCTCATCCACTGTACCGCATTTCCTTCATGAGATCGTTGTCCTTCGCAACTGACGCCCAAATTGAGTAGTTTCAACGTAGGCGACGATGGCTTCAGCTTCTGCAGCAACTGCGGCGTGGTCAACACGATCTTCTGACAAATGGGACGCCATCTGCGCTGGTGGTGCTGCTTCCATGGCGTCACGAGCTTCCCCAGAAGCTCTTGTCTTCTCTTCGGCTTCCCCCACACACTCCACATCCCCACGAGAGGTCCCACGGTCCGGTGATGATCCTTTGCTATGGGCTACCTCGATGGCAGGTGTTGTGCGCTTTGCTGCCTTCTTTCTGGGGGCCTTCTTCTGAGTACCCTCATCCCTCGCACTCGGCTTTCCATCTACCCGCCAAATTCGTCACATGTGCCTCTCGCTCAGCCGCCCCTTAAGGCACCATCGCCGTTCTTCTTTTGTGAGCTTATGCTGGGGGGATTCCCCGACCGGAGCAGCTATCTTTGCAGGAGCCGTCGTTTTGGAGAATGAGCACTTTGGTGGCTACTGGTCACTCGTTTGGTAATTCTTTTTATATCTTGTTTAACCGACCCCCCCCCCTCGAGAGAAACCTACGTCTGTGTAATTGGACGTTTATACTTAACAAAATATCTTGGTTTCTCAAAATCCGTGCATGAAGAGTGTTTTAATATAAATACCAAGTATTATTGTACTTTTTATGTCCGAAAATATAAGCGGAGTATCTGCTTATACCATGTTCGAAAATAAAAGCGGTATGCTTACATTTGATAGTACTGTCGTTTTCCGCCTAAGTACGCCCATTCAAATGTTGTTGTTGTTGTCGGCCGCTGCAAACCAGATCGGAGGGATATTTAGGTACTCTACATGGCACCGTTCAATAGGGAATCACACGCGCTACATCTCTACAGGTTTCTTTAACATTTCGTGGAAAATTGACATCCCGGCGAAAGATTTTCAAATTTCACTTCTACACCACGAACTTTGCAAATCGATAACTTTGCGACCAGGTGGCCGATTTGCTTCAAACGGCGACCAAAACAATTGCCGTAATCTAAACAGCAATTAAGATCAATCAGCTGCCCGCTTAAAGGTTTTCTGTTCTTAAAATTAATTGTGCCCGCCCATCGTGCTTATATTATCGGACGGAGGAAGTACAACAAAAGGGAACCAAGGGGTTAACTAAGAATCAGAGACGAATTTGCATTGTGTTACGCAAGTTCCTTTCTGCCCTCAAGATTCGGAACGATATTGGCCGTACGAGCTCGGGGAAGGTTGGAAATTGCAGATTTAGCGCGAGTAGTGATAAGTGGATAATATATTGGCCAAATCCTACCACCTAGTGAGCTTTTCTTATGCGTGCAAATCCATAACGTTACTCGGATTCACTACTTGGCCGGGTATACCTATCGACTCCCAAATATCAAGATCCCGCTAATAGAAGCGGCAAGTACGACGCAACAAGCCCATAGGCAAGGGACGCACCTATAAGGCAGTCCCACTAAGCTCGAATATTCGCTTGGGATCCAGAAACAAATACGGACGCAGAGTGCCTTACCACGACTGCTCCATCCCATCCCCACGTCTCGCCAAGACACTCAAGCTTCACCACTTGAACTTTTTTAAAATTACCGTGAGAGCAAGCCCCTGCCCTACCGACGGGTACACAAGGTGAGGAAATCACGGATCATCGGGGACCCCTCCGTTAATCGGTGTCTGGGTGCTGTTGGTAAGTTGGATCTAGCAATCGCGCAGATTTTGGTAATCCCGCTACAGCACACTAATTACCTCAGGAATACGTTGCCTGCTCCCCCCCCTTTCTCGACATTTTTATTTCGGCATGAGGAAAATATGAACTGACTTCGCTCAAAACTAGTGACAACGTCTTCATCATGGATGATGTTATATAAACAATTATTGTCCACGCAAAATGCTATTGATAATTTACCGCTAGTACTTTTAAATGGAATTAGCCATCTAATCGAAGAAAGAGGAGTCGCGGCTGGGAATATTACCAAGGACGAGCTTGAATCAACGATAGCGAGACTTCTTGTACCCTCGGGAATGCCACACTCACAAGCACCAGCAAGTAACCAAGACGACAACATAGTCAACCAGTTCACTACTACGATGGAAAATTCCATTTGCTTTTGAGTTCCCTAAACTAGCCCGTTTGGAGTTTGGAAACTTTGGTGGTTTGGAGATAGCTACATGAAATCCCCCCACATTCGGTCGCACGATCTACCTAACAAACGTCTGCACAAAATGTTCTCCGATTGGGCTGTTCTGGGCGACACATTAAAAGCGCTGTGGAGTCGACTGGGCTGAGCGTAGGAGCAGACATGTCCGAGGAAGAAGCAACAGAGATTTTCGCGGTGGTATGGACAGCTTACAAATTGCACTTACATCGAGAAAACGTCGATTACCAGAGCTATCGGTCACTACTGCTTTTAGCCTCGCTCAGGAGACAAACCAACGTAAGGGTCAGGCTACTACAACAACGCCACAGCGAACTGCATAATTTTATCCAATCAAATCGGGTAGCATTACTTTCCTACGAATCTGCTAGATAAGTGATTAATTACAAAAAAATCATATTGGCTCGTGAAGTGAAGATACGAAGTTTAATGGTTTGTATGTGTACGTGATGACTTATTTAAACTATAACATCATTCAAACAATTATAAAACAAAGCATCGAGCGGATTTTACATCTAAGCAGCCAATGCAAGATAATATTCTCGGTTGCAGTAAAACTTGTTGTGAGTGTCCAAATTGCTTTTACAGTGTTTTGACAGTCGCTGTCAAATTAAAACCCAAAGCTTGATATGGAGACTGCAATTCGTCACGACGTGGCCGTAATACAGGCTCTTCGACGTGGTGGCAAGGGTGCCAATAGTGGAGGAAGAGGCGGTCGACGTGAAACTGAAGCATCTACTCTCGATAGTCGAACGTCTGTGAGATTGCGAGGCGGCTGTCCCAACAGGGCTGAACAAGTAGCGGAGCGCTTGAACCGAGTTACCCGCAACATGGCAGCAACCCAAGAACGTGTAGCTCATGCAAACCCCGTCCACCCTTTTATACACAATACAATGAGTTATCATATTCATTTAAACTAGAAAGGTGGGCTGATAGGGCTTAGCGGAAATTAAACGACAGTATTCCACAACGAAAAGTAGTACTGTTGCTGGGCAGCTTTGAAAGGTGAAAATTTGTGTCGTGGTTTCGTAGGCTACGTACTACAGGTTGGATTTCATGTTTATTCGCCCCCCCCCGTGCTCTTCCCTGTCCTTCCTGGCTTCGTGGTTTCCTACTCACCCGTAGCTCACACCACTTAGTGGTTATGCCGTATCGCTTTTGGTTTGATGCTTTTCCGTACACCGCCCTCTTTCGGGGCAGCTAGCGTTTCCGTGTTCGCAAGGGTTTACGTGAACTTCACAGGTTTCACATTACATAATCATTCCTGGTCCATGGCGTCGCATCTCCGGTACCGTCGCCAATGATTAATCTTCCACAGGCTCGGTGCCTCCATGCAATCGTAGGGGTGTGGCTCCGTCTACCGTGCTATCGTAATGTGGTGGTGTAGTTCTGTCGTATGTGCTATCGTGAACGCATAGTGTATATCCCTTGCCTGTGTTATCGTGTTCTACCGTTGTTTTGTGCTCTGCTGTGTAGCGTCGTGCTCCCTCGAGGTGGTATCCCTGGTCTCGTGGCTCGTGGCTGGCCCGCCTTCTGTGCGATCGTGTCCTTCCGTGGTATCACGCTACACGGCTCGGTGATCTTCCGTTCTACAGCGGTATCGTTCTCAGTGGCTTGGTAAATTCCCGTTTGTGGTCTCTCGTGGCTTCGTGGTTACTCGGTGGACTTTGCTTCGTGCTTTACCGTGGTGGCATGTTTGAATTCCTTTCCGGGCGCTCTATCGCGGTTACGTGTTCTACCGTGATATCGAACGTGCGCGCCTTCCGTGGTCCGTGGTTAATAGATTGTAATGGTGGTCGTTGCTTAAGTACCTGTCCGTGTGAATAGTCATGGCTCATACTTGGACGCCAAGATAGCACTCATATTCGCGAACCACTTCTCGAATTGCTCCGTGTTGAAGTTGCCGATATAATCATCATCGTGCTTGCGTTTTAAGTTGGACTGCCAAACCTCTTTTGATTCTTTAATCAATTCACTAACAAATCTGTTCTTCTCTTGTCGGAGGCTACCAGCAGCTACAAAGCAAAATCTTTTAATAATTGTAAGATGAACTACTTAGTTTTTTTCTAATAATATAAGTAAAAAAACATTTAACACACGAACAGTGGACCTCGACCGCTCTTTGTATACCTTAACTTGTCCGATGATGCTCGAGAGTTTCCTTTTCGCCTGCGTTGAAAGCAGTTACCTGTACAGTCAGCATGTGCAATGACTATCAACTAGGCTTAAGGTCAAACCGTTATGAATCCAAGGCATATCTGGGTACACTGGTGCATCCGTGGCGAGGTGGACGCTATTTCCGCCCCATCACGGTTGCAGCCGAAACGTGGAAGATATCTGACGTTGGACGAGGTTGTGCAGCTGGTACATGCTGTACCTCTGTTCCAACGTCATACTCAGCGCTCGCTCGTCTCTGCAACCGGAATACCAAGACGTACACTCCAGCGCCACCTTGCCGACGGAACACTACGCAGCGCTTCCTCTCGTGTAAAGCCTACACTTACAGATAAGCACAAGACCAAGCGTCTTCAATGGGTGTTAAGTCACGTTGACTTGCCGCTAGGTATAGTAACATGTATACATATTTTTTTAATTTTTTCTGGTCTCTTAATAAAAAAAACTTACTGTGTTTTTTAAATGTTAAGGTGCCAGGATGTATTTAATGCATCACCGTGCATGTTGATGAAAAGTGGTTTAACCTTTAAAAGGGTGCCACGAAGTATTACCTGACTGCAAATGAGCAACTTCCCTATCGGTCATGTCCGAACAAATCGATAAAATTTTGTTTTTGGCTGCAGTTGCGCGACCCCGATACGATTTCTACAAAACGCAGTACTTCGATGGTAAGATCGAAACTTGGCCTATAGTTTAAAATGTTGAAGCCCTTCGTAGCTCTGTTAATCGATCTAAAGGTACACTTGTTACTAAGGGTGTGTCAATGACTCGGTCCCCTTACCGGGAATTTCTTGTCGACAAAGGTTTTCCTGCAATCCGAGCCAAGATGCCAGGTATGTACTTATTTATCAGAATATTTCAGACTAAACGATTTTATTAGCTCGCATGAGCTCTACTATTATCGTCCAACAAGATAATGCGGGACCCCATGTTCTCCAAAATGATGCCCAGCTAGAGAAAGCAGGGCCTATTGATGGCTGGAAGATAAAGATGCGTTGCGCTATCGCCAGACCTGACCGTTTTGGATTTGGGATACTTTTCGTCTATTCAAGCTCTTCTATATCGCAAGGCCGCCTACGACTCTGACAGCCTCATTGTGGCAGTAAAAGAGGCATTTGACGAGCTTAGGTGGCAAACTCTTGACAACTGTTTTGTCACTTTGCAAAAGGTCATGGAATCTGGGCTAATTAGCGGTGGTGGCAATGTCTATAAGCTCCCACGTATTTCATGGAATGTTGCAGTCAATGGGCGAATGCATATGGCGGTGGTAATTGCTGCCGATGCGGTAACGCTCGTGTACAGACATCCGTATGCTTAATTTCATCTTACAATCTTTATTTCAGTTATTTTATTCGAAATTATTGGGGGGTTACTCAATCGCTGATTGGTCAATAAGAATCGTTGGTTTACATTAATGATCTGGTTTTATGAATTAAACCTCGCTCCCGTCTCTTCGAAATCGTAGCGCTTCTAGCGCATCCCTGCGTACAAGAACGCGTCCAACTGTTGCGAATTGTCTGGTCTACCTGCCCTTAAAATATGATTTAATATCGCTAAATATTGATTGAACTGCGACAAAAAACCTAACGGCCTCTAAATTGCGAGGTGTTTGAGCGGAGATTACTCTACTATAATTGATGTTAAAGCAGGCTAAAAATATGTCCGTGTGCGACTTAAACTGGAACTTTGAGCTGGTGCGCTATTCGTTAATGGGCGAGCTCTCGATCAATCGACCAAAAACAGAAATCGTCATATTGGAGTGGGCCAGAGAAGTACATGTCAAGACTTTGTCGAAAAAAAATATTGCTTTTGTAGACTCCATCTTCCTCCTCCTGTTCCGGATACTCAATGAGTGCTCGAAAGTTCGAGCGTGATGTAACCCTTGATAGGGCGACGTACAGCTGGCAATAGGAGAAACACGAGCCTTCGCTGACGTGAACACACGCAATATAAGTTCGTATCAGCTGGTAATATAATTAGTTGGACCTGGTGACGCACATTTCGTCTTATATAGTCATTATATTACTTATAGCTAGTAAATATAAAATTTTAAGATTGGTAGCTCGTTTAAAATAATTTACTTTCACATTTTTGTATGCATAGTATTACTCTTATTATTTTTCATATTTTTGCTTGCAACCTTTTGCAGTAGTCGTATGAATAATTATTAAATCAGTGCTAAATTAATTTCAAATATTGATTATTTCTAAAACTTAAGAAACACATTTTTATTACAAATACTAATTGCTAGCAAATACGACTATAATGGCTAGACACACTTTACCCACACACACACCACATCGCCGCGGAAAAAGAACGTCTTGCTTTGTATTTGCGTGTATGTGCGACATTTAGAGAATGTGCACACTTAACAACATGATACGTAGAGTAGATTCGAGGCACTGGGGGCACTGTTTGTGAAACAAATTTGCGCGGAGACACGTGATTAAACAAAAACACATAGCACGGAGGAAGACCGAGATGCTATATACACGATGGGATAGAAGGAGCGACAAGAAGCACGGAAGGCCACGGACGATGAAAGAGGACGCCATCAATGAAGGCACCTAGAGATTCTGAGAAACACGAATCATGGACGAGCACGCTACCATGAAAACTTAAAAGGACAGTAATATGACGTAATCGTACGGGCCACGACAGAGAACTGAAATATTGACACCCCAGCAAGTTGAAAAGCACGGGCTACGAACAGCACGCACGTTCGAAGCCACGGTAGAACACGTAATGGTGAGAGTGCACAAAAAAAAATTCCAATAACACCACGGTAGAACATGGAGCACATTCAACGGACCAAACATGAAGCCGAGGGATTCCATAAACGGAAGATCACCGAGCATTGAAACACGATATTAGGGTGGCACCGTAGCTCACCGAGTCACCGAGCCACGGAACACGATACCAGTGTAGAGATTGAGATCACCGAGCCACGGCAAGCGATAGTACCATTGCACGGACGGCGGATCAGCCATGGAAGCACGAGGGAGCGACCACGATTACAGACTACGGAGCACGATGCCATTGTAGAGCACAATAATACGGGCAACGCAGGTATACTACGCGAGCTCAAATGCATGGACAACAAATCCACACCGCGATTGCCCGATACCACGATAACGCGGTCGATGGAGCCACACCAGGAGATCACGTTACACGGGAGACGGATCAATATAACTACGGAATAGCTCCCTTCGGCGAGGGTACCGTCGATGGGACGCCATGGACCATGAATGATTATGGACCACGAAACCTGTGGAACCAACGAAAACGCTTGGAAACACAGAATAGCAAGCATCCACGAATGGACGGTGTACGAAAGATCCCGAACCCAAAGAGAGAGCGCATAACCACTAAGCAGTGTGGGTCACGGGTGAACAGGGAGCCACGATGCCACGAAGGCACGGAAGACCACGGGCCACTAAAGAGCATGATATTGAACGGGGTAGCAAAAACATATCAAACCACGATATTGTACTGGGCCACATGAGACCACGGAAAGGTAAGTGGTTCAGTACACGAAGTCACGACGTACTGGGGTGAACGACGCTCACAAGGCACGCAACACCATCAAGCTCTTAAATTTGCGGTCATCTCATCTCCAACAAACCATGCCACTCTGCCGCGGAGCGGCGGCGGCCGGCTAGTCCTAAGCTATCAATGCTAGCACGGTGTCCGTCCGTCCGTCACACGATACGCTAAGTTTTTTAGCCTTCCCATTGGCTGCCGAGCGGAGCGTAGGCGGCTTCGATTGGTTAAAACTGAATTATGTAGCTTACATCAGTAAATTCATGTGGTTCACAGAGCACATATGGAGATTTGCACAAGACTATCCATTATCCGAAGGCGGCATCGTTTTAATATTACGAATTTTAATAATGCATGTTGCTTTTAATATTTGAGTGCGAAACAGACGGAGCTACTTATTCTCAAATGAAATAGCCCCTATAGACGCTTCCTAAGCTGCAAGGTGCTTAGCGAACACGTAGGAATGCGTGTTTTCGAGGCCATACGATAATATATGTAATACTATGTACTTAATAGTTTCTGCAAGTTACAATGACTATAATAGCTACAACATTTTTGTTGTAGAATATTAATAAATTATCTGATTGCCAAATCGTAGTACATGTCCAACAGAAGCTGACCGTAAGAGCTGGTCTTCTGCTAATAAACGTTGTCACTTGATCCATAAAGATAAATAGTTTTAGATTGAATAAACTGAAATCATATGTGTTACTGCTGAACTTGTAACAGGATGGTTTCACAACCACACCCTGAATGGAGCGGTGGCGAACAGTGGCGTATCACTAGAGAACATCACGGCGCTGCAGACGGAAGTTGTGACGGCGAGGAAGAACAACGAAGATCTGATGAGCGGCAGGAGACAGTAACCGACCACGACCAACGGAGCCGTGCCGAGCGACGTGCACTGCTCATTGGAGATCTTTAGCTGAGGAGTCGCCATGAAGGGACGAAGACGGTGAACCCACCAAGGGCGATCCACTGCTTCGAGAGAGCGGCGAGTGAACCAGTGGCGGCTGGCGCAGTCGCTCAGTGCCAAATTTGCCACGGAGCGAGCAAGTGGAAGCGAACAGAGCCAGTCGGGGCCGACAACGAGTGGTGTGTGTGACGAGAAGGGCGAGTAGGCCGAGAAGGACGAGTTGGGTGACTTGATGAGCACCGAGACGAGTACGAAGACAGTGACGGACGCGTCGCTGTGTGTGTGTGTGTGTGTGTGTGTGTTGCAGCTAAACGGACAAGGCGGCGACAGGTGGAGGCTCACGACGGTGCGAGCACGAACGACGACACTACGGGGCGCTTGGAGGTTTCGGAGTGGGCGAAGGTGTTGGCACGGGCCCCGGGCAGCTTGTTGACAAATTGTACGAACAGTAGTGACATTAAAACGAGAACGAAGACGAAACCGAGAGCGAGTACGGGGAGTTAACAAAGAGTCTCCATAGTACGAGTGTATTAATAAACCGGACGTGAGTCCGGCTGTTTAGGCGGCTAGAGCTGTGCTGTGTTACGTAACGAACGAGGCCACGAACACGGACCTTGGCGAAACAGCGCAGCAGGCACAAGCAGCAATACTTCCCGCCGACAAGCAGGCGACAGGAGACTTGTTACAAACCCATTGTTTTCTAATAGTTGTTAAGACAGCAAAATCAGATACTACTTACATGGCGGACGTGTCGTCGAAAGGGGCGTAGGATACGATTTTAAAGGGAGCGGCAAGACAACAACAAAACACCAGAGGTGTTATTTATAGTTGGTTAATTAAACCCCATAAAGAAACAGAAACGTTAATAAACTTGGAGCCTAAATGACGTTTAACCATCATGTAATTATCGTTAAACTATAAAATCAGAAGCACTACCGTCAACATCAACAGCGGCAAGGCATATTGTCCAAATACTTTAATCATAACTGACACAGAATCGAGTGTCTAATGACTAATTCTGAATCAGCACAATATGAGCGCTGCATGCATAAAAAATATTACAATTCGAATATTTTCTAGCTTTCATTGAGTTTTGTGTGAGAAGCGAACAATTTTTAGTTACTTACAATGTAACGGGATACAATCTAGTATGCCCCATGCTACATAAAGAGTGACCCGTCACTCTTGTGGACACCTGGTACACGGTACCAGGTGCTCTCGGAGCCAATCTGGGCATGACTACTTAGCTCCACTATTGGCAACCTCTAGTTTGTATGGAACCCACGCTAACCTTACTTATAAATACATCAGTCTTACGTCTACTCCTCTAAGTAGTAAACCGTTCCCTTTGAGGCCGGGACCACGTGGACTATCGCTCACTCGGGTAGTTAATACCCTTAAGCACTGCCTCTGTGCAAGGTGCTGTGTGACCCCGTCACACTTGGTAGCACTCGTAGTCAAAAAATCCAACACCATCGCGGGTAGATTGAACTACCTGAATCCTCTGTAACGCTCAACGTTTGAGCCAAGATGGACAGAAGCGAGTTTCCTTGCTTGAACGACTCACAGTACGAGTCTGTTCGGAAGATGGGAGGCATCTTTGGACAAGATGTCCTTCGCAGCTTGGCGGCGGCGACGCCTGCCGAGCAACGCGAACGCGTGGCTGCGTTTGAGACCTACGAGCGTGGTCTCATCGCACACGTCCGCGGGAGTTTGGAGGCCTCGATGACCACTCCCCAGGCAACCAGGTCTAAGCCGGTATGGCTGAATGTCCCCGCGTTTGAGGGGAAGGAAGGAGAGAACCTTCACTTCTGGGTCCGTGAGGTGGAGATCACCATGAAGGCAGGTCTCATCTCGGACGAGTCAGTTCGGGTGGCGTTTGCCCTGTTCAACCTTGGTGGACGTGCCAAGCACTGGGCATACACCAGGGATACGCCATCTCCTGGATGCTTTGCATCCTGGGCTCCGCTGTGTGAGCAGCTTCGAGCCGCGTTCTTACCGGCGAACAACGAGTTCCGCCAGCGCTCACGCTTTCTCGCGTGTAAGCAAGATAAACGTGAGCTGCAAAAGGAGTACGTGCAAGAGATGCGCACGTTGGTGGCATCTCTGGCAGGGAATCCGCTGCCTGAAGACGTCAAGACAACAGTCCTCATGGATGGCCTGAAGGTCAGTCCTGCTCGCACCCAGCTATTCCGGGTGCAAGCGACAACTATGGAGGAGGCGATTCGAATCGCCCTCCAAGAGGAGTACAGCCACAAGCAGGCTGGTACTCCTCGGGAAGAGGAACATCGTCACGATGAGAATGGAATTCCTCGGGAGGCGGAGCATCGCAGCAATGACGTTGTTGCTCTTGCTGTCACGCAGCCCATTGATACCGGCGCGTACAGCGAGCCCGAACCCATGGACTTAAGCTCAGCCGAGAGCTTGGTCCGCTGCTACGGATGCGGCGGACATGAACACTACCAGCGTGTGTGTCCCTCGCCAGCCCTCGGGAAGAAGACAGCCCGTGGACCCCAGGTCCGGTGGCGCAGGCCACGGCCAGGTGGACGAAGACTCCCCGGCCACCAGTAGAGGCGGTATGTCCTACTGAAGACCGCTAAGTTTTCGTGATGGATGTGCAGGTTGTGCACACCACGTGACTTAGCCCAGAGAGATGTGGTTCTCTCAAACCGGTGAAGGGCAGTGATGGGCTGCTGGTAGTACACTCGGTGTACGGGGGTACGGTACCCCTTGAACGTTCGATGAGTTCTGGGGCGTTGATACGCCGCCGGGCGTCGCTTGACATAGCGACACCCGGCTGCACTCTATGTCAGAGTGGCTGTCGTGAGCTGGTCCTTGGTGGACTACGGTGAGGACAGTACCAATGGTCCTCAACGGACCTGAACGTTTGGGCTCGATGAACTCGCGCACCGCGGTGTCGCTCGCAGCTCACGCCATAAGCAACATGGCTGTGCCGAACATAAGGCACAGCCCGGACTTTAGTGTGGCAAGGCTGAGAAGGGCCTACCAGTCCAGGTCTATGTCGGAGCATTGGTGAGTCATGTTCCCACCTCCGTCATGACTGGGGCGTCTGATACAGACCGCCAGGACGCAGAAATGTCACGGAGCTGTCAACGCGCCGACAACTCTGCGTACAGTAAGACCGTGCTCCGCTGCGGCAATGCCACGGGCATGGGTCTTTTGCCCGGCGTGTGGACCTGCTACTCCAGCAGCGTCTAGCGCCGAAGGTCGTCGCGCCGTACAGGCTTCGACACTGGTTATGCCTTTAAGCGCTAACCAGGTGGGTAACTTAGGACCACACGGTCGCCCAGACCTTAACTGAAGAGGAAGGCACTGATCATGCTTCCTGTGTGGGTAACACAGTACCTCACGCAGACGCCCAGACTATAACCGAAGAGGAAGGCATTGGCCATGCTTTCTGTGTAGGTAACCCAGTGTCACACGAGGTTTCGAGTGCCTCTGATGTCGCGAGACATCACGACGTGGGTAATGAAGTGCCACGTCACGTCAGCCGCCGCAAGTCGGGTCTGAACCCTGTTCAGACCGACGTCGCTTCAAGCGCCTCGGAGGCCAGGGCCCGGACTCCTCTGACTCGGGTGGTGGACACCAACTCTGTCTGGTGTGGGTGCGGGTCTGCCACACCAGCCGATCCCAACACCGAAGGTCGTCGCGCAGTATGGGCTTCGACAGTGATGGTGCCGACGGGCATTCACCAGGTGGGTAACATAGGTCCACATTGCGGATAACAAGTTCCGCAAGCAGCGAAGCTGCTTAAGGATACCGACATTCGGTGCTCCGAGCGTGGGTAACAGTGTTCCACGCAACGTCACTCAGACCATAGCTGATAAAGAAGTCGCTGTATGCGCTTCCGGTGTGGGTAACAGAGTTCCACACATCCAAGGTGGGTAACATATTTTTGCAACCAAGGCGGGTAACATAGTTCCGCACACAGAGCCACTAGCTCGAGGCATGAGGCTGTCTTGGCCTCCCCAGACGTGAGCAACTCGCTCGACGTCAAGTCGCGCAGACTCAAACTGCTGACGCGAAGGCTGGATGTCTTCGGTCAGCACGGCCGACGCAGTCACGGGGCGGAGACCCGTTGTGCCTGCCAGTGGCTATCACAAGCCACGAGAGACTCAGTAGTCTTGAGGTTAAGTGGGAGAGAGGCTCGTAAATACCATTCCTCCCTGACTTTCCACGAGGCAGATAGCCGTCGTGCTGCCAGTGGCCATCACAAGCCGCGAGAGACTCAATAGTCTCAAGTGTAGTGGGAGAGAGGCTCGGAAATTCCTTTCCTTCCTTGTCTTGAGGTAAGATCACGTTCCTTACGGAAATTAGGCTTCGATGTACATCGACTGCGAGCTGGAGGCGAACAGCCGGGCTAGAGCTGTGGCAGCTCTAACCAAACAAGACAGAGTGGCGACGGAAGCCACTGACGCTATGTGCCTCGGAAGCTGAGTGAGTCAGCAGTGTTGTGGTTGCATGCAACCACACACTAGGTGAAGCGCGGACCTGGTGCAATCACGGCACAGGTCCCTTGGCCATGAACGACCTGTCGATTAGGGTGAACGGAACGTCTCATCCGCCGACAAAACGGCTGCGGTACGTGATGTACGCAACGCGCCGGGTATAATGGGCCGTGGAGCCATAACCCAAGTGTGGTGCACGAGTGCACACACAACTGACCAGGTGGTGGTCGAGGAAACGCACGCAGTCGTAACTGGTGCCGCGCCGAGCATGACACCGTGGTGGTGGCTGCTTGCCTCACCCTGGTTTGGTACCCATGAGTACTCGGGGTCAATACCCGACACCAACGCCGCAGTGGCATGGTGGTGAGATATGTACCACCACGGTCGAGTACCATCAAGGTACATGGTATCTGTAATAGACACTGGTATGGGTGCAAAGGATATGCACCATACTACGACCCGATGCGCTCTGGGCGAATACGCTGTAAGTCAACGCACGTACCGTGTATCGGCACTGGCTGCTGTCGAGCAGCCTGCCGGGTGTTCCACGTAATGAACTCGTCGTGCATGACACACATGAAGTACACGAGCACTTATGGTAGCTGTGATACGTGTCGTACACAGCGTACCTCGTGTACGGGCCCATGGACCTGTACACTGTGCTTGCACATGCGCCGTGCATGATGCGAGCACTGGCCAGGAATCCGTTCAAAGGACAGCACCGCAGAAGCTGTTGCCGCCAAACATGGCAACCTTATGGTGGGCGTACCGCACCAAAGGTTAGTACCGGACGGTACATGGTGTCGATGGGAGACACCTGCACCACGGTTGTGTACCGTCACGGTACACGGTGTCGATGAAGGACACCTACGCACCGTTGGCATGATGACCAGGACGCGAAGAGAGCGTGACAGAAGCTCCACCCGCAAGGATGGATGCTTGCTGGAGCCAAAGGCATGGCCCGAGGTGAGCTGAGAGCCCCCTCTATG